TATGTCCATCTACTAAGAATATTATAGAATATCATCTGCTACAACAGTTTACTACAGTTACCTATTGATACTCTAACTCTAAGATTACTGAAACGACATTTATTCCGATTACAGCTGTGTAAGTCGGAGTAAAAAAGCCGCCCTCCCCAGTTGTCCTCCTAGTTTTTGCAAAAAGATTAACCTGCTTGGTAAGAACTTTATTCGTTTGCAAGTTACTGGTAATGAGCCTTTTAATTTGTATTTTGGCTTAGAGAAAGGTGGCTTACTTTCTGTTGTACTGAGTTTGATATAGGCCCTAGAGCTGCTGAGTTGGGACAAAGTGCTATTGGAAACTTTGGAATGTGAGAACTAGCGATGTCTCGAGCAATGGCGTTGCCTAGCTGCTTCAGTGAATATTAATAATAACGCTCCCAAAAAGCAAAGTCCCAAGGGCCTAGCTTCCCCAAGAGCGAAGCGAAAACCGAAAATCGGAACTCGGAACGGAGCACAGACCCGTTGTCGCACTTTGCATCACAACCATAACTGTGACTGACAACCAACAGACGGTTTTTTTTTTTCGAAGGACATTTTTTATCTACTCATGCAGTCAGCCATTTGGGTCACCTGTTTGCCTGTCTACTTGGGTGGGTTGCTTCTGTCTGGGTGGGTTGCTTTTCTACTTTTCTTTCGGGTCTGTCTGTTGTATTACTTGTACAGGGCTTAGTGTCCTAATCACTTAGATCGAATCTGATCATGACGCGATCTAATCGGCTATTTAACCAGCTTATCTTCACTAAGACATGTCCATGTCTGTTTCATCTCTCTGTTGGTGTTGGATTTTATGTTAGGAGACGACTTCAACGTCATCTAAAAGTTATAAGAAGTGACATGACATTGTGTGCCAAGATGAAAAGTGCACATTTAGTCTCTTCAATTGTCTGGGATTGAAGTTGTTGCGAGCAGGGGCAGTGCAGACAGACGTAGGAAAAATGACCGACGAGGAGGGCGAATATAAAAGAATCACTTCTCTCAGCTCTTTGTACTTGTCAACTGAATGATTGATCAGAAAATTTACAAAGGTGAACATTACCAATCATCCTTTGATCAATACCCCCCTCCACCTCTACATCCCACTCATTTCAAAATTCATTTCATCCCCCGGACGTACATACGTGCATGGTGATCTTCCACGACGGCGGGCGGGGGTTGTTCAGCCTGAAAACTCGTGGGGGCTTTTGGTTGGTTCCGCTGTCGATGACAAATCGTTGTTACTGCTTCTGCTTCAATTGCAACTTGCATATGCGCTTTTCCTCCCCCGACCGACGTTTCTTCATCGTCGACGTTCACATCGACTTACTCCATTCGTCGTCGTTGGCGTCGTCGTCGTCGTCTGCTAGCTCTAAAGGGTTCAAGAGCTTTCCGGAAAGTTTCTACTGTTTCTACTCCGACTACGGTATTTCGGACTTTCGGGTTTGTTCCGTTTTCCGATTTCCGTGATCGTCCATGATCTCTTTGATCTCTAGCCCTAGCGTCCTCGCAGTAAATTGTACTTGTTAGTGTCCTTTTTTTTACGGGGGCACTTTGCAGAAAATTTAAAGCGCAACAGTTGATGTTATTTGCTGTTTCACATTTTACATCCTCTCCGTTCATTGTCAGTGTGATGCGATGCGCTTCTCGATCTGAAGACGTCATCAACGCCACGCCTTCTTCTCACTTCTATTTTTCCCCCATGCTTAGTTCCCCCCTCATGCATTGCGCAACAAATCCTACTACTTTATTTACTGCTATGTTGATAACAGTAAAAATCGCCGAGACATTTACTTCCTTGTCTGCCTTTACCTCTTCTCCTCTCCTTCTTTTATTCCTATTCATTCCTTTTTTCATGGTACATCTACTGCACTATTATGATTGCCCTCAAATGATTTCGTGTCGATGAGGTACTAAACGATGTTGAAGTGGTGTGTACGAGTGCCCTAATAAAGACCCATACAATTTCCAGGTGATGGGAAATTCCACCAGTTCGACATCGTCAAGAGTTCGGCATAAATCCGAATCTATGGAAATTCAGAAAAAAACTAAACCCAATGGAGAATTTTCGAAAAAAAGTCGTTCACTTATGGAATTAGGAAGTAATCAAAGAAGTAAACGTTCCATAGCCTCCATCAAACCATCTGATCGGCCTAAACAACTAAAGGAAGGTCGAAGTGGAAGGTGAGGTGTATCGATTGATTGTTTAGGTTCTCGATTTACATTGAACTTTAGAAAATATTAATGCAAGTTGCAAATATTTAAAAAATTAATCTTTACATCTTTTATCAGAATCGGATGGCATTGAATGTGCATATCTTTGAAAAATTATTATCCAAAACTTTCATGAATGAGGTTCAATAAAAGCCATTTGGATTGCGCCATGCGCTCTGCGTAAGGCGATATTTCTAATCTCATTTTGTCGGCATGCTAGGCTCTGTACAAAATATTGTTATTTTTTTGAGATCATAATTTTCTACTTGGGTCTCAATTCGACCCTGTTGATTTCTTCGATGTCAGATTATTCGGTCAGCAGACTCAAAAAACGTTAACGGCGCCTCTCACCACTGAACCACTTCTTTGCCTAGAAGTTTACTAATTAATTTTCTTTGTTAGAACACAGAACTTTTTCCGCTACTGGTTCCAATTTGCTATTTCCAGTGGACTCCTTTCAAATTTATTAAACTTTTTCTTTATTGAGGAGTGGCTAGTTCATCATGAGAGGTCCGATTCTCGGTAGATGTTTATGCTGGCCTTTTCGAAGGAAGCACCTTTTCTGCAAACCTATGTCTAACGTTTTTCCACAGACTTTTCCATCATGTTGGAGCGTTGCAAATTGGAATTTCCGGGTGCAAAATAGAGTATTTCGTCGTTCGATGTTTTTCTTCACATTGTAACAAGTTGGAAAGCTGCTGAAGCAACTTGGCGTGGTCTCTCAACAGAGACTAAAGAGGAGGGGCGATTTGCCATACTGGACTAACTGGTTTGGTTCATGGGAAGAGTCAGTGCCCTGCAATGGGGATTAAGGTGTGATTTCCGAGCTTCCTGAGAATACCAGTAGGACCAGTAAATAGTTGAAAGCATCTGAAGACAACAAGTAAATGAGATTGCCCAGTAGAAAGTTCAAGGGAGACAGGAGATTCCTAGTATTTTCCTGTTTCTTCCTAAACAGACCACCCGCCTCTCTCTGAGGAACTTCTTGTGGGACACTGCCGCGAGGCTTCTGAAAACAGGAAATTACATTCTAAAGTCTAAAGTCCTGAAAATCGGTTTCAAGGGGACCACAGATGGGACTTGGTACTTACAACTAACAAATAACTAATAACTTTGGGTGTAATTGCACAAAATGTGCTACGAACAGTAGATCTCCTTCTATTATACAATTCTGTTCCCATTACTTGTTGCTGTTACTCGGAGCATTAAATACTCAAAGTTGTTAATTGAATGTTACCGAGATATGGCCAGTTGAAGTAACCTAACAATTACTAGATTTGTTTTGAGTATGGGTTGCTAGAATATTTGCAAGATAATTTCCTTGAAGGCATTCTTTCATCATACCATGCCATACTGATCCTCTATTCCGTCAAAGCTGGAAGCTAGCGTTACTGCTTAATTACTTGTATTACTTGGTCGGTATACTTATTTGTACAGCTATAGTTAAGCTGTGGATAACATTACTTCATGATGACGATCGTTCCTCTTCAAGCTACAGCCATGTCTGACTCATTGGGGCTTAGGGCTAAGTAGGGGGTGGGGGAGAGAAGGCGTGAAAGAAATCAGTTGACGTTTTTCCATGTCAAACAACATACAAATATACAAAAACATTACAACTGCAAAACGACGTGTTCAAACAACAGCTGTCACATTTTTTTGTGGTTTACTTTGTAGTTCAAAACTTGTTTGCTTTCCGCCATATAGCCCCTAAGGACCATCACAGTAAGTGCGTCGCCGCTGTTCAAGTCCCTGCGTCACCCGTTCCCGTCAAAACTTATGACTATAGAAACAATCGTGGATTTTCACGACAGAAACTTGTTTTTTACTGGTAATTAGTATAACTGGAATGTACCCAGTACTTCCATGTCCCATTATTACTGTAAAGTGTTAGTTGAGTTACTTGGATGTATTCTTGGGAATGGCACGTTTTCATTTTTCTCATGAAATCCCCTGGAGCTATTCATACCACCACCACCACCACCACCACCAGCTGGCATGAACAACTGTTCATCCAATATCATTAAAAGCAGCTGCAAAAACCTTTTTGTAGTGCATTATAGTGTAATGGACTGTAGGTGGGGTTATAGGTACTTCAAACCGTTGAAATAATGCCCTTCCCCTTTGAAATGTACATCAATAACATGGTCTAAGTTATTTCCGTAGAATCGATTTTTCTTTGAAATGTCTTTGGAACATTTGACGGGGGACATTTGGTTGGGACGACGTGGAGCAATTTGACATTTTAAGCTCCCATGTTGACAGAGGATCAATCTTGGGTAGAGGGATCAATCCCTTGTGCGTCCGGGAATACCTAAAAACCATAACCTATAACTTTGCTTTCCTACTGAGTAGTCAAAGAAAGAAGAAGCAGAGGTTACTCGAATTCTGTTGGGTTATGAGTAGGGTAGATGTAAGATAATCAGGACTCTTACGACTTTTAGCGGATTAGAGTAACTGGTAAACCAGCAGTCACTGCAACAGTTATGATCTGCTCAGTTCTCGGCTTTCGTCGAAATTTTTGTTGTCATCCATACGTTATGGAAGGAAACAAATGTTTCTTCATGATTGGTGAGAACTATAAAGGTAATCGATCGACCTTACAAGTTGTTAAACTGTAATTACTGCAATCGCCACAACGTTCTGCTTCAGGTCAGGCTTGATCCAACATCTGTCTTTTACGGCCTTGCACTTATCTACCGTACTAACAATAAGAGTCGACACCTCTGTCTTGGTTGTAAATTTTATGTTTCACATAGCTAATCAATACCCATACGAATAACATGAGAAGCTGGTCGGTCAATATCGGCACAGCTGCTGACAAAGAAAACGATTCGGATCAAAAAGATGTGACATGGGCTGTCAAATGCCCACTTATTCCCAAGTATCACATATTATCTTCGTTTTTAGGCAGTCGCTAGCTTTTTTTTGCCTGTACTAAAACCTCCCCAATCTCTGCAGAAAGAGAGGCAATATTTCATAAACTCTTATTCGGGATGTTTCCAGACTTTACAGCGAAGTACTGCAGTTTTTTGTAATCCTTGACCTTACTATTACTGCGTGCTATCGAAGAATGCCAAAAGAAAGTCTATTCAGAAAGCTCGAGAGCTCATAATAAGGCGTTTATCCCTCGAGACAAACAATAGCGGGAAGCTGATGGACTCATTAGTGTTTATCATGTGACAGTAGACTTTTACTTTGTCACGTTTTTCACAAATTAAGTCTACTAGCTTATCAGGGGACCAAGCCATGATAATATTACTTGTAGCAATCCAGTAGAATAAAGTCTTATAACTAACCAAGCCCTTGTAGGTCAGATTCAGGCTGTTACACTTACTACAAAGTACATAGTATGGTTCCTTGGTATGATTTTTGACGTAATAGGTAATACTTAGGCTGTTACTTACTGAAAAGCGGTATGGTTCAATCTTTGACCTTACTATTACTTACTACTACTGCATGCTGGTCATGCTATTGATTTTACAAGTATGTGCTATCGGGGCTTAGTCGGCTAGTTGCTTTTAAAGTCTGTTTGTTATTTTGTTATACTGCCTTTCCTTTGCAGTCTAATAAACATAAGCATAAACATAAACATAAACACAAACAATGGTTGATTGGTTTGGCCTTGTCCGGTTCCGAAAGGCTGACACATTTTTCAGGTTGTCAGCCCTATTACGTCCGTAATTAGGCCCGTCTAGGTAACCACGCCCACGGGACTGGAATTCTAGCTTCTAGATAGATAAAAGTTACTCAATATCGATGCCATCTTACTTTATTACTGGATTATATCCTAAGGGAAGTAGAAGGTTGCTATGAAAAAACCCTGGGAACCACTCTGATACTCGCTCATTGAAGTCGTTAATAATTGAAGACCATTCATCAAGTAAGTCCCCTGTGCTTGCGTCATTACTATGACCTTTCATACTAGTTTATTAGCGTGCAACTGATTCATGTGGGATATTGTCGTCATCGCAAGCTTATGAGTTATATTCAGAGTAAATTCAGAGTAAATCGGAGGAATGCCCACTTTTTTCACGTCTGCCCGTATCATCTCGGGTCATGGCACTCAGACTTCTGGGCCATCGCCATTTTCTTACACTCACGTGGGCCAGCCAGCCAAGTCGAAACGCCTCCGTCCGAGTTGATGTGGGGCTTGTGACTTTTGACGACACAATTTGTCAGACTGCCGCTTTTCTCAGGGGACAAAAACTCGCTAGGACATTCGCTACACATACGCATTGTTTATGAATAAAGCCTATCAAACTATAGGCATAGGCAGATTAAAAAGGATTGGCCTAAGATTTTTATTTGTAGCACCGTAAATGGCCTATCACGTTCAAAGTCGCTACGAAAGGATCTATCACATCCGATTAGCAGCCAAGGACGAGAGATCATTCTACAGTGTTTCGAGAATCCACACTCTGAATTCGGCAATAAGGTTTGTAATTCTGAAAGCTCTCTTTGAAATCCTGACTTCAGCAGGGCCGAGAAGCCATCAGACCGCTCGTTTGCCGGTTTTACGATACCGGCTCGGTAGGGAGGAAAGAAGGGCCAGTAGGATGAAAAAGTAGCTCGCAATAACTTTGTTTATAATGGCTTTTTGAAAGCGTTCCGACAACTGTTAACGTTGCAAAAAACCCCACAACTTCCTGTTCCAATGCTCGCATAGCATGCGTACTCTGAGCTGTTATCACAGCGTTGAAGCAGGAAGTTGTGGATTTTTTGCAATGTCGGCAGTTGTGGCAGTTCTAAGAGCTTGACGTGTGTTTTCTCTTGAGCCGCTGGGCCAGCTGCCTTTCGGGTTTCACGGGGAGAACGGGGAAAATCCTGACCGATACTGCTACACCTCAAATCTCGGGCGAAACAGGGTGAAAAAGCAGTCGCAGTCTTCCAGCTGTTCATTTTTGCAAGGATATCAGCTTAGCACCCCTGACTTTTGGGAATAAATGCCAAATTGTAGATAAGCAAAGAGATTTTCGCCTTTTTTCAGGTTTTGCAACGGATTTTTGAGAAAAGAGCTGACTATCAGAAATATGTTTACACGTTGGGCAAGGAACGAGCCTATCAAATGAGCATTCGACTCAAGGACCTCGTTGAAGAGGTCGTATCAAAGGTTTGTTTACTCAGTAATACCAAAACTCATCTAAATTGTTGAAGCCGAATCATCCTCATAACGCTTCCTTCGCAGATCTGCTTTTGAGCAGTGATTTCTATGAGGTAGCGATATGATTAAGAAGGATCATCCCTTTATGGACCAAAGATAAGTCGAATTAAGAAAAACAAGGTGATTTCCGGGTGTTAACCTCGGTTTCACCCGGAAGTTACTTGAACACTCTAATCCAGGGGATTTATTCAGCGAGCCAAGGTATAGGGACTTTTATAGTGGCCTTAAAGGCACAGTCCACAATAATTTTGAAGAATCTATTTCAAGTTAAGTAATGGAAGCAATGTTGCAGAATAGTGCAAGGGCAGGGAAGAAAACGCGAAAATTGCACGAAAATTGAGCAGCAAGGGGTTTGAACGAGATGGACGTCTGGGTGTCTCTCATTTAGGTGTACTATTCGTCTCGTCCTGTAAATAGTGCAGTAATAACAAGGCCGGCATAACACGTCCACTTTGGGTGGTTGCTTTGGCCAAACAAGTTTTGGAGCCCTTATTACGCCCTTTCAGGCCGTTTCATGGCCCAACAACGGTCCGTATACTATTCTCGAGGCCAAAGATTAATTCCAGCGAGAAATCTCAGGAGTTATCGTCATCGTGAACTGTGCCTTTAAGTGCTCAAGCGGATCCCAGCTAGGTCTGGTGAAGTTTCTATCTTCCCAAAACCTTTCCTAAGCCATCTATGGCCGTTTCTGAAAGGGTGCAGGGCCGGTGAGGTTGCTGAAGACTCTACTTGAAGTTTGACCCCCGGAAACGACGATAGAAACGTCATTTGCCCCATTGTGACATCGAAGCGTGTTGTTCGAACTGAGAAAANAAAAGTGATCTCTGTCTTCATCGAAGTTTGTTTTGCAGTGCTATACGTTGTGTACTGGTAAAATGAAAGTGAAGTCGTTCTTAGTGGATAACTTAAGATTTTCTTTATTCTGCAGAGCTTTTGTCTGAGGCTATCGTCAACTTTCCTTATATGAAGCTCTATAGCTTTCAAAATTGCCCTTCTCCGCCTCCATCAGCGCGTGAAACAGAACTCTGACAACTTGAACTCTGGGGGCTTCTGAGTTTTACAATTTCAGGGACATTTATCACTCAGGCAATTGCCCTTAGGCTTTTACAACGAAGCACTTTAATGTTTTGTGACGTCAATCGTTTGGAAGCATAGCACTGGGCTGAGGTCTATCAGCTTCAGCTGGTCGGCATCGAGTAGAAGAACTTCTTGCGTCATTTTATTGCTACTTAATGGCTGCAAGCTGAACAGCTGTGTTTCGGAACGTATACTTTACAAAACGATGTATTTCGTACTTGTTAAAACGAGCGGTCGTTTGGTAGGAAGTAGTAATTTTGTAGTCATGTGAATTTAACCCAGATGCAGACTCTTTACGACCGCAAAACTCGTTCAAACAAACTTTACACAGTCCGGACTTACTGAATGATCATCCTGATAGGTTTGAAGAGGCAGCAGTGTGGAATCACAACATTGATCGATATCGATTTCCGATATTTCCGTCGGATAGGCTTCATTTCAGCTTTCAAGTGTATCACCGATCTCAGCTATATGTAACACCTTCATGGGTTGGCCAGTCGTTAGCCTTAAGATTCTGGGTCATTGGCTAGTGTTAAGCTTTGGGCAGGACTCGAACCTCAACGTAAGCGGTCCGAGCCCCGCGCCTTAATCCGCTACGCTATCAGAACACACTTTGAGCTTCCTGACGTGATGTTAGCACCCCTGTGATAACATTTTCAACACAAACAGTGGCGATAATTAGTAGTTAGAAAAACAAAACAAATCAAAATCAAACAGCCGTCGGTTTTCCCAGTGGGATGAGGGGACAGTGCCATGTGGCTCCAATATCACAGTCATGTTTAGAGGATAGAACTTCTTATAGGATTTGGACTAGAATTCCAGGCTATTCAGAATTACGGTGGAAATTTTTTGGTGTCAGGTCCATCTGGAAGGGTTTAAACGCTATTCTTATATCGGTGTCCCCGTGCACGTAGTAGTACGGCCCTAATGCCCATTAAAACGTCACCACGACTCAAAATAGAGCTTGAATGCTTGGGTTTTTTGCAAACAACTAGAGTCGATCGATGAGAAAAGCATTTTTTGCTTTCCCTGCATTGAATATGTTATATTTTCTCAGGCTGGGTGACGTATACCTTCATTTAGCAACTTATAAAAATACTTGATTGACGCCATTTCAAAGTATATGAGTGCCACATCATTATATGGCAATAAATGGCTTTCTCACAATAAGGACACGTTTAAAATACCAAAAATGGAGTAAATTAGCTTGATTAATCAATATTTTTACAGTACAGTAGAAAAAAAATAACAGGAATAGGAATATAGTAGAGTAGGAATAACAGAGCCTGAAAGATGTCAAAAAGTAGACCCAGCACCTCGTTTTTTCCTGATTCGGAATATCAGTGAATAAAGGTATGACTTGCTGAATACCAGTAAGCATAACTGGTTTCTGGCCTTGTTCACTTTCAAAAATCAATCGCCAAAGAAAAGCCTTCCTTCCATGAATTCTGAGGTTTTTCCGCTTCCTTCGTTATCGGGACCCAATCAGTTCCAGCCCTTTCCTCTCAGGAGTGTGATGAGAAACTTGATTTGTGGTAGGAACCACTGCTTATATACTTCAGAATTGGAACCGAAAATCGGTTTAAACTGAATAACACCGTCTTTGAAGAATACTATTGAAAATTCCTTTCATCATACTGAGTCTTATGTGGGGTTGCCTGCATTAAACTTATTTTCAGCAACAGAGCTTTTTCGAATTTCGTGCGACCACTCTGACAGTTATGTACAATACTACATTTAGACTTCCATGGTAACAAGAAACGCTCCAACAATTGGTAGTAGAGATTGAAAAGTCCCAGTGCACTCCTGATTGGCTGCTTGTCGAACTGCACGGCAATCAACCAATGAGGAGTGCATTGGAGCTCTCCGTACAGTAGGCTAGGGCTTATTAAGTGTATTCTAAGTGGAGGCGATATTGAGGATTATTACTGTAAGCTGCCCATTACCTCGTGTTTGAGAATACACGCTGCTTCGTGCTTTCCTCAAGATTTAAAACTTTTTTACCGTAATCTTGAAAATCTGTATTTGTCCGAGTTTTGGATGATGTGATTTTCATCGGAGGTAGACAAAACTCGTGAGAATTGCATTTTGTGAACTCGTGGAAAGCAAATCATTGGAATATCGAGTTTCTGCTTCTTCATTCTCAAAGAATTGCTTTCCATAGTTCATTTTCTCATTTTTTGGAGCTCTTCACTTCTTCAAAGAGTCCAGCAGTATTCGCTCATTTCGAACTTTTCCAGCTTCTCATGTTCTGGAGCTTTTACCCCTTATCAGCTTACTTTGGGTATCCTCCTTCACACCCTTCACACTTTCGTCTTTTCTTTCACCTTCTACAACGTTTCCACCCTACTTTTTTACCCAGGAGTTCCTGGGGTGACTTTTACCCAGGAGGTCCTGAGGTGACTTTTACCCAGGAGGTCCTGGGTGACATACACAATACCATCAAGTGTATAATACCATCTGCATTCCACTTTTTTTTCAAAAATTCATTTAATAGCTACTATTAATAAAATTATTTTTCTCGAAATATCCTTACCCGACATCATAAAGAAAGAAAATGATGCGCACAAGTGAAAAAAGTTTATAAACATTACTTACTAATACTTTACAGTCACTAGTCACTATCGGGGGAAAATGTATTGTGCATCTGCAGAGAATAAGATGATGGAGTCTTTTCACGTTCATTAGTCGCAACCTTGGATTGCGCCCGGCATTCGACTTCCATTCAGAATCGTCGTGACGGTTTGAATAAATGTGAGGCTCAAACAATGACATGTGGTGGTCAGCCCATGTGTACCACACTGACCCCAATTAGATGAAAGGTTTGATTTTCCTGGGCGAGTATCGATCCGGGATTCGTACCCTGGACCATGCGCGTGTGTTAGTGAGAAACCTGTCTTTTGGCAATTCATGTGAAACTGTATATACTCAGTAACTATTCTGTATTACAAATTTGTGATATGAAGTAACGTTGACTATTTCAGATATTCGACCCCGATCATATCTGTTCAGTATCGCGAACCTATGGTGAAGAACATGTGGAGTTAAAGGCATACGGTTTCAAGCCTGACTTCTGGGTAACTATAGCCGATGCTATCACCGTCGAGGGTGTTATACTGGACATGGCCAACCATCAGGTTCGTTTCCACACTGTTACTCACCCATACACCTGAAACAAGCAATAAATGCCATTGACTACGTAAACGAACTCTCGGGATTGTTGTAAGACGGTGATGGGACTTTTTTATGGTCGACACTCACTGCTATTCTCCAAGGGATTGATGTTCGTGTCGTTTTAAAGCTGATGTACACCGATAGATAAGTTTATGAGATACAAAGATATTCTGACGTCGTTGATAGAAAAAGTTTTATTGACGGTGAACACGAAGAAGGAAAAAGTTTTATTGGCGGTGAGCATGTAGGCTTTATTATGGGCAAATTCAGGGTGGCGATAAAAATCCTCAGGGACTTTCAACCTTGGAACTTCCATGAAGTCCCTTGGTTGAAACTTTACACAAAGCTAATAACTAGTAAGAGTAGGAGAGAATGCCCCCTTAAACTTCCAATTTTTAAAGCATTCGGTAAAGATGGAAAGTGAAACCCAAAAGCTCAAGTCTTCAGGCGTTGGTCTGTCGCGTCCGAGAGATGCACCCCGTATTCGACTTTTATTCGGAATCGTAGTGGCGTTTGAATGCGTTTGGGGCCTATACAATGGTTGTACCAGCGCCTTTATCCTCCCAAACAAGTGTGGTACCATTCAGCTGGTCTCGTAAGTACGGAGAACCTGCTAGGGTGCCTTTAACCTCCCAAACAAGTGTGGTACCAATCAGCTGGTCTCGTAGGTACGGAGAGCCTGGATGGCTTGAGCGGGTATCGATCCGGGCTTCGAACCCGTGACCATGTGTGTGAGATAGTGCGTCACTTGCCACCACACTACCTCCGCCCTAAAAAATTCCTTAAAGTTTCCTACTAAAAAGGAAAAATATGTGCTGTTATAGCAGTGATTGTACGGTAGTAGTCTTGATCCGCTCCCAGCCCTTGGCCGTCCCAATTATTCGCCACACATCCTAGCATG